GCTTTGTAAGTACTTTCTCCATCGTTTTTTCAGTCCTATTTGATTTACCGTATTCCGCTGACATTGTTCGGCAACTATCCGATCTAGTACTGTCTCAAAATGAAGCCAAATTTAATGATTTACATACGTTGCATATAGAGTTACGACTACGTTTTCGATTGGTGGTTAGGAGTAGAACATGGACTGTCCCTATATACTTTCTAATTCAAAGCATTGTAATCCAAAACTCCCTCGTACTGTAAAAAATCATATTGTCACGTGGTACAAATGCGGGATTTTTATTGAACAATTTGATATATAATATTGTATAATATTTTCTTTGAATTACATGTATAGGAACAGTGCAGGAAAAGAATGTTTCTATGTGCTAGAAATATGCCTCAGCGTTTATTGACTTGTCGCAACTTGGCGATGGCATGTTTTGCTGGGTGCAAGGTTTGTTCAGGAACTTAGTAACACTTTTCAAAATTCGAACACAATAAATTATTACAATTTATGGTATTCTTCGACTAGGCCTTTTATTCCCAGGCCTATAGGGCAGAATTCTTAAAAAAGTTTCAGTTAAGTGGGGCTCAAATATGAAATCAGATACCAGAAGAGATACGAAATTCGGTATCTTATGATTCATTTTGCAAAAAGCTCTCTCATGCCTTTTAAGAAATTAGTTGTCTAGGTTAAACATATTGTTTAGTTAATGTAATATTGTTTAGTTTAGTTTACTGTAGTTTAGTTTATGTTGGGAACAGGGACGCCGGAACTGGGGGCAGTGGGGGGGCGGCTGCCCCCCCCTTGCCTTTTGCTAGGGGGGGCAGGGGGGGGGGGGCAGAAGTGCCCTTTTAGTTGTAAAATACTACGTGATAAATCACATTTCCAGTGATGCTTTTTCTGGGAAAATCTTGAGATTCAGGTAATTTAATTATAGGCCCAGAGACAGTAAATGAACAATAATTATTGTAAAGAATGAGTTTAATTTACAAAATTTTGGAATTTAGAAAAATTTTCTAAATTAACGGAAAATTTTGGTATGTCCAGAAAAATTTTTTGACCCCTAAAATGGTACACTGACCGAAATATTTTTGGCGAGGGGGGGGGAGGGGCGAGGTCGCCCAAAAAATTTCCATGAAAAAAAATTTTCCGGTAGATTCTGAACTTTTGCTCTATAGAGGTGCCCTTGGTGTGCGTTTCCCCCCTTTGCCTTATTGTCGTTCCGGCGTCCCTGGTTGGGAATAATTAGCATGGTAATATTTAAATAAGTTTAGTATATAAATTTGTAATTTTGAAACATTAGCACTCATACATATATATATAAGGTCCAGACATACTGGACGCGATTCAACAACGCGACGCGAGTTTACGATTTTCACTGACCGATAACTTTGATCCTAGTTTATATTTTCCAAATATTTAGAAGCGGTATAACAGTTTGCGTTATTTGGTCTACATATCTTTCAAAATTTGCTCTCAGTTATAGCTGCTTCATCAACTTTCAAAAACTAAAAAATTGCGTCGCGTTGTTGAATCGCCGTCCGATGTGTCTGGACCTTTACAGTGGAAAATTATTTTTACAGTGGAAAATTAAGCTAAGATAAGAAAACACATTATATTTACGAAAATGTTAAAACTACTTATGCTTATGAAAATGTCGAAAACCTAAACGGGCATTATTTGCAAGATGCAAAGGAAATAAACTCTATAAACATTAATTAAGGTCACGGCTGCCGTGTTGGATGAACATGCCCGAAAGGAATTGTCAAATTTCATCCAATATGGCGAAAGTCTCTTTCCTTTGTGATTGGTTACAAACAAGAGCAGCGAAATGAAGTTTGATCCTGTTATAAATTATATCGGAGCTGGTATAATCAGTTTATAAAAAGTATCCCTTGCCACTGTAATATATAATTTATGTATATTCTTTCTGCATTTACCATTTTCAGAGAACCATGCCTATAAGACCTACACGTCCTGCTCGTACCGGAGGATTTCCAAGAATTAGATTTGTGGCCGTGTGCATGGTATGAGATTTTCAATATATATATATTTCATTTCAATTCCCAAAAATGAAATTAAAGTAATTAATATTCCTAACCTAATGTACACTTTCCGTTATTTCTTGTTGACCATGCCTATATATACAAAGATGATTTTATATATGCTGATAAACAGGATGTCTTTCGTTTTGACGCCAGAAATTGTGCCCGACTTGTCAAAAAAAATTCCGTTTAAACTTTCCAAAAGTATTGATTTATTTGTTCATAATTTTCAGAATTATTGATTCAAATGCCTATTAGGTGTTAGGATGATTCCAAATAGAAAACATGGTAGAAGCTTCGAAAACCAATACGTATACTATTTCGTAAATTGCTGAGTGTACAGCAAGCATGCTACCAATCTCGTTCCCAGAGTATGCCTGTTCGCGGGTTATGTAGTGGCATGACTCTGGGGAAATCGAGTCGAAATCGTTATTTGATTGGCTGCCGCGATCATCAATGTTGCCGACTCATTAATGCGTGTTTTTTTGCGAGAATTACGCGTGGACATACGCGAAGAGAGTATTATCAATGTTTATCAGATTTGGAATGCGAAATCAAACAGTATAAATCGAAGGATATAATAATATTAATCGTATGAACAAGTATTGGGACGTTGGGTATATACTTACAAAATTGCATAGTATTTATGAATGACTTTTTAGCGATCTACAGTTTGAGTATATTGACATATTTGTATGTGGAAACGACAGCGTACAAGTTTCGTATTTATTCCATAATAACCATGAAAGAATTGGCTAAATTGATATATTGTTGCCAGGACTTTGGAGTGACAGCTTTTGCTTGTGTCAAAGCTTTAAACAATACAGTACATTAGATCTTCCGTTTCATGTTCACTTCACATATATGTGCTGAGAGGTCACTTAACTACACATCAATTATGGTCAACATGTTGTAGCCCGTGGTCTTTGTGCTTTTGGAAAAGGAGTTATCTATAAATTTAAGATGCGAGGTGTTTTTGTAGCATCTGTATAAATCATAGAGTAATTAATTTAAGAAGTTTCCCAGGTTGTAAATAATTTGGTTATAGACTTGCTTTGTAAATGATTGCCACTTGACAGTATGATGTAAGGCTATAACTAAGCCAAACTTGAAATAATTTTTGCATCAGGGTAGCAGTTAATGAAACATTTGTGTCTGGATAAAAAGAAGTGGTGAATTTAAATACAGATGTTTCCTTGTCTGTTGTTATGTGAAACAATAACAATGTAGTTTGTAGCAATAAGAGTCTTTGTGGATGAATACATGGCTCGTTTGCTAAAAATATACAAGCATTGATTCCATTTCCAAACAATTATTCTATTGGCAATCACATATAAAAGGAGATACAGTAGGATTGAAATAGCTACCAGTTTCAATCAATTAAATAACTAGTTAATTTCTCACTTATTTCTGTATCAAGCCTCCTGGGTGTTATTTTTCCCAAGCATCATTGAGGGGGCACTTGTTCTAAATATATATGCAATAAGTCTGGTTACCATTAAAAAGTCCATATTCAGAGTTACCGTTGTACTATATTTTATTAAAATACTGCAGAAATGCAATATAATTTATGATTTTAAGAATTAATTGAGTGGGGGCTGCATGGTTAAAGGGGGGTGGGGGAATTATTTATTTTTGTATTCAAAAGGGGGGTATTAATTGTAGAGGGATTTAAAAGAGAGGGGGGGGGCTAAATATAGAAATTACAGTACCCCCATTCCTTCCTCTCCCTTGCCAAACATGCTGCAGGAGAAGGGGCAACTGCAGGGGTTAAAGCACAGATTGCAAGCTTGATGTATTGCATGTTATGTACCTGGTAATATGCAATCTCATATCCAGAGTATGCCCGTCCACAGGTTAGGTGCTGGGCATGACCAGCATCTAACCTGCGAACGGGCATACTTAACTCTGGGTACGAGTTTGGGTAATATGGAGTGGTGAGCTAGTAAATATATCCTTGCCTATAATTAGTTGCTGATTAAATGTTCAAAGACACATAGTGTGAAGCATGAAAAACATATGGGAGATACCCATTGCAACAAACTTTCAACACAAGTTATTATAATTACAAACACAACGTAGTGTTATTTATTAAAGACTTTATATGTGCTCCATGTATATATAATATAAAACATAATGTGGTTATAATATTGTTAAAATATGTGATATATAATATTATAAACCTCTGACTATAAGCCCTGGGCTTATATTCTTTTGTAAGTGAATTTTGATGGGCTTATACAGTACACGGGGGGGGGGCTCATATACGGGGGCCTTAATCATTATACATGGACGATCTTTTGTATTGGTGCTAAACAAGTCAGTCATAAACAGGAAAATAAACATGTATTAATAACACGCTTTGATTAACATAGTAAGCTATATAAAGACCATGACAATGTTTTTAGATATTGTTCTCTGCTATAGGGGGGGGGGGCTTATATTTGGAATGAGGTGAGCGGTATAATCACAAAATGAGAGGTTTACAGTATACAGTTGAAAAAAGCTTGTATTTTCTTGTCATAGACACACATTTCTGGATGCATGTAGAACAGCTTATATGTTGGGTTCTCAGTTGATCCATGGATAATAAAATAAATTATTGGAAACTTCTGACGTCATTGACTGCATCCTTGTTGAAAAACGTGACGTCACGCGTATTGCGAATGTTACCAAAGTTCTCGGCATATTTGTTGTTTTGCTATATTTTCCACTTTAAAAGGGTGATCTTGAAGCGTAAACTGGTCTAATTGTTTTAAAAACATGCCTAAGCCACGACAAAGTATTGAAGGTAAATGTTTTCGTCTTTGTTTTATATTTTTTTACATTTGTAGCTACGAAATTGGCGTCACAAATTTTAACGAAATTTGCGATGTATTTTTCACTGTTTAGTGCTTGAAATATTTGCTAAAATTGACTGGGAATACTTAGAGTTTTCATCGTAGAATGGCGTGGTTACATTTATTTGCTCTTTGACTACAATGTTTAGCTGTATTATTGCTAAACATGCCGTTTTTGAGAATTTGATTTTCAACTAGGTTGAGGCATCCAACCACGCCATCAATCCCAGTAAAAACATTAGGTTACGTCAGCTAGTTTCCTATCCATTTATTTTATTATCCTTGGTTGATCCAATGGTAATTTGATATCGCTGCCATCATCATAGAATAGCATGGCCTTGTATCCTGCATGCAGAAATGCCTTGGTCATTCAGTTTAGCCACTTGATCTTGCATCAGTCAGTGCATTTAGTGGAGATACGAGTATATGTCACAATATAATTAGTTACACCAAGTAACATGTCGTACACGTCAGGTAGCAGATGAAATATTTTAATATTTGCCATAATAAGCCCATAATAAGCGCATGCCCTGTTGGCAAAACGACCAAAACATCTTCACCATTTTACAATGGCCGAGTCGCCAAGATACAATATCTCATCTTTTAACGAAAATTCAAGCCCTCTTTTCGCTAGAGCAGCTTTAATAGCTCTTTCAATATTTGCCATTGAATATAGTTTGATAGCAGTGTGATCAGTAGCGTAGCCAGCCTGAAATTTTACTCCTGCTATGTAAATTTCAAAGCATTATCATTATTCATTTCTTTAGAAATTCATTGTTTTTACAGTCTATGAACACAGACATATTTGCATAGCAGGAGCAAATAGTCAGGCTGGCTACGCCACTGAGTGTGATTTAAACTTAAAGCACCTTTAAACGTATAAAAAACTATTTTGTATACTATATTCTGATGAGAATCTGTTCAAACAAATATATAATCGATTGTGAGTGTGTGCCCGCGCGAATTTAGTAAGCGGAATAAACAAAAGCAATAAACGCGCATGCGCCATTTATCTCATTTTGGATAAAATTCGATTTCCCCAGAGCCATGCCACTACATAACCCGCGAACAGGCATACTCTGGAAACGAGATTACCATGCTACTACAAAACAGATACGTACTGTAGTTCCAAGATTGATTTACCTTGATTCGCTCCATTTTCATCCACAAGTTATTATATTTCAATGTGTGAATAAATATAAATCATAAATTTTAACCCCTCTTTACCACCATGTTGGATTGTCTCGCGACCAACCTCAGAACAAGCCTTGATTTGTAATTACGTAACTTGTGGCAATACTAGTCGCTGATTGGCTAAGTTAACAGTGAGCAGCTAACAGTTAACACGCCGATAGCGTATAATCCCCTACCAGGGGCGGCGGAACAGGGGGGGCTAGGGGGGCTAAAGCCCCCCCAGAAGTTAAAGTGGGTGGCTTAGCCCCCCCAAAAAATTTTAGTTTTTTCTGGAAAACTTTGAGAATTAAGGAAAAATGTGGGTTATTTTTTTGAAAATTTAGATATAAGGGGGAAAATTTGCCGTATTTTGTTTAAAAATTGTGTATTTCCAGAAAAAAGTTTTTGTGATAAGTCCGGAAAAAATTTTTTCATCCCTTTTTTTGTATATGTCCGGAAAAATTTTTGTACCCCTAAAATGGTACACTGACCGAATTTTTTTTGGCGACGAGGGGAGGTCACGGAAAAAAATTTAGCCCCCCCAGAATGAAATCTGTTCCGCCGCCGCTGTCCCCTACGTAGATTCATAAATGATTAGCCATAAAGATTTTGAATAAAACTTTTCATTTTATTTTTAATGTATATTCACATAATTAAAAATGTTAATTTTAATTCCTCGATATCTCGGGTTTTTTTTTATCAACATTACATTATATTTTACATAGGAACAATGCAAAAGAGGAATGTTTCGCTGTACTAAAAGTCTGCAGCGTTCCTCGATGTGTCACAACTTGGGAATGGCATGTTTTTCTAAGTGCAAGGTTTGTTCACGAACTCATGCACTTGTTAAATTCAAGCACAATAAATGACTACAATTATTTCGACTATATAGGCTTCTTATCCCCAGGCCTATGATGTCAGAATTACTAAAAAATTAAGATCTTGACATAAATGTTATTGAGAATGTCGGTTCGATCATCACAGCGGACCAATGATACTCATACAACGCTGTATCGAAAATCGTGAGTTTTCTCTGGGTATACTCCAGTTTCCTCCCACAGGGAATTAATGTTGACAGGGTGGGTTGGGTTTAGCCCCGTGGTCAGACATGAGTCATAAGGTGTAAGCCTTTGACCAAATCAGGTTTGAGCTGCGTCCTTCGCAATTCAGCTGTAGCTCTCAGCTGCAAGAAGGGATGATTAACACCCCCCCCCCCCTCGCCCGAAAAAAACAGTATATTTGGAGTAGCCCTTGTCAAAAAATACTGTAAAATATAAATGTCTATTCTTTCTGTATTTACCATTTTTTCTCTGATCATTTCAAGTAAAAATGTTATAGACATCCATTTAACAATATCAGATAATTTTTTAACCTGAAAGCAAGGCCTGTATCTTTTATATAAACAAGTTCCTGTAACCGCGGCCAGGTATTAGCGAGCTTAAGCATGTAGGACGGCAACGCGGCGACGACGGCCAAAACAAATTCTTTCAAACAAATGATAGTAAAGAAAACTTGTCGTATATTCTAATTCGTATGTCTTTAACACAGTATAAGAAGATTAAAACATTGGTTTTATGTTCGGGAAGAGTTCTCTAATTAACCGAATTTTAAGTTGCACTTATTACGGCTTGAAATGCAGGCGTTGCATAAAAGACGTGAAATTCTGTGATTTGCCGTTTTAAACAGAGCGACGACTACGTTTGAAACTCCCTTGGGACTTTAATTATTTATTTCTTTTCATTGACTCATTGTATTGGTTGCCGTCGCCGTCGTGCTGCCGTTCTACATGCTTAAGCTCTCTATTAGAAGCATCCGGCCGGATAACGAATATTGAGATTATCTCCATACTCAGTGGTGCATCCCTAGTAGTTTGTCGTTTGTTAAATCTGGTTTGTTGATACCTAATTGATACAATTTTTGAATATTGATTCATCATTTACATTTCAGGGATCCAGGCAATCTTTAACCCCAGTCGTGAAGCGACCTCCACTGCCTGAAATAAAACTGCAAAGTTACCGCGGAGCATTGAAACGTTATCAAAAGAGAGTACGACCCATGATGCAACAATTGAAAAAACGTACATTTGGAAACTTTCCAAGAAGAAATCGTTTCAGTCCTAAACGTCATATCTGGAGTGGATAAATCAGTTCAGGTACATTTTCACATTTATGGAACACGTTCACTCAAAAGTGGTCACGATCACTCGAGAATGGACACGTTCACTGTAAATTTTAAATGGAAATTTTATTCTCAAATTAAGATTATTTTTCTTGGCGCAAGAATTTTTAAGAATAGAAATCTTTTTTTAAGAAAAAGGATGTAGATAGCTATATAATCGTCAGTCATGAAATACTATCGCTTCAAGATAATTTTTCTTAGTCTAAGAAAAAAATCTTATATTGGAAACAAGAAAAAGTTTTGGGTACAAGATTTTTTTCTTCTCGCAAGATTTACAATATAAAAAATAAAATATATACTTTATGTAAAAAATAAAATATATTGTTTTATTAAAGATAATTTATCTTTAACTGCTAACTGCAAGGTTACACTATTTGCTTGTTGGGTTCTACAGTAATTTATAAACTTTGCCACCTCGGTTTCGTTGTAATTACATGACAATCGTTACTTTCCGTATGTATTATAAGATGTATTATACTGTCACGAGAACTTCAGATTTTTCAAGAACTTCAGGTGGCGTACCCTAATTCGTATGCAAACTGTACAATTTTGCATGCAAACCGCATGAAAATCATGTGGTTCCATTTGTTCACTGAAGTACTCATATGCGGTTACCTGCGCTATACTCAAATCCATCCGGTCTCATGGTTCCGTGTAAAGGCAAGAAAAAATATGAAAACGTGATTACGATGATTTCAGAGGCCTTGAATTTTGAAAATAAATTAGCTTATAGCTACCTATACCATAATTTTATGTCTCGTGTATACAGAATTCTCACACATCATTAGATATTCATAGCATTTCGGCCAATGACATGGTGTAACTTACATCACGTGTATCTATCTGGATACACCGTCTAGACCAGGAATTTAATTACTTCAAGTGGGAAGGGCTTTGAACAATAGGGAAATTGAGGGGTAAACAAAAGATTATGCAAATATACTTAATTGCTATGTTTCGAATTATTTCTAAATACAGTAAGCTGTATTTAGAAATAACTTCTAAATACACAAAAACATTAAAACACACTCAAACAACAAAATATGTTGCTTTTTTAATCACACTAACAATAACACACATACAATTGACTTAGTATTACTTATTTCCGGCAAACGAAATGTTAAAGGACAGTTAGTGAATGTACTGTTCGACAAAACAAACTTTTCTGCGATAGTACGTCGCTGCACCTCTTTATCAATTTTAGACCAGTCCACTTCACTCAAAAACTTATCAAGTTCCTCGTCGGAAATTTGAAACTTTTCGTCTTCCTTAG